GCTCCGGGGAGCAATGAGCCACAGCCAGCAGAAACCGCGGGGCACACGGCCGAAAACCGTGCACTTACTACATCCGGGCACACTCGCGCACACCGCGGTCACCGATCACCCCCCGGGACCATCGGCGCGGGCCATGCGATGCGCGGGCGTGGGCGCGGCGCGGGGAAGACCGGACTCTGTGTGGCGGGCTTAGCGCCGCGGATGGAGCCGGAGGGGGGAATGGGAATAGCATGTTGGCGCGTCATCTGCCCGGGGAGGGAGGGGGGGGCGGATAAGGCAAAGTTGAGCGTACAGGCAAAGAAAGGTTTCCGAACACAGCCTGCTTGCCCTTTTCAAACTCTGTCGCCATAAAGTCGCATAAAGTGCTAGCTTTTCGTCGTATAGAAGTAAAACATTTTTACAACCATCAAAGAGTATGTTGTTTTCGTGTTGGAGCGGCCATCTTAGCGGACGCTTCTGCTGATGGGAAACGTGTATAGCGCTGCCGTTTTGCACGAGCTCGCTGCCGCGCTGCCAGGGGGGAGGGGGGGGGTCGGGGGCTGAAATAGGCGAAAAACACCGGCGAACCGTCAGCGTGGTGGATCAGTTTTCCCCGCGCGCCCTTTCTGCAGCTCTGTTTTCGTTCCGTCCGCGTAAGTCAATCCATTCAAAACCATACCTCGCAGACGGTGCAAAAGGGCAGCAGCGAGCAACAACCAAACTCCCCTTGCAAGAGGGTGCGGCGGTCGGTGCGAACCGCAGTACGTACGACGCGACGCGCTTAGGCCACAGGGGCGCCCGCCGCGTCTTCAGAGAGGTAAAAGAAGTGCGTTTAGCTCACTCGGTAAAGAGAGGTAAGCAGACGCAGCGCGCGTTCCTGCACTTTTGTAAGAAAGATATCGACGGCGGGAGAGGAGAAAAAGCCAGTCCATAATTTGCGACTTGGCGAGCTGGAGACCGCAAACCTGCCCCCCGCCTGCGCAAGCCCAAGACGACTACTTGCCCCGCGTTGCGCTTGGTGTATTTGTGAGCGGCAAAGTTTTAGCGAGCTTTGCCAGAGAAACAGGTGCCGCCAGTCACGTTCTCGGATACAAATAGTCGTGTTTTGAGCCTGGCAGTCTCGCGAGCAGAGCTTAAACTCCGCGTGACGCGAAGGCGTTTTCCTTGGCGCGTCCGCGTGTCCGCGACGTCAGACGCCGGAGCAGCGCCGCAGTCGAGGCGAAGATAGTGTATTTCGACTAACGGAGGAAGAAGAATAGCGGGTAGAACATAAAGGTTCCTGATTGGCCGAGTGCCTACCCCTTCTACCGACGTTACGTAGAGGCGGGAAGCTCTCGACCAATCGGTAACGTTCATGTTCTACCCGCTGTTCTTCTTCCTCCGTTAGTCGAAATACACTATTCACGTATTTACAGCAGCCAGTTATATCACGAGGAATCCCGCCGCCCCCGCCGTACAAATTCTTCCAGCGCCGCGGACGACTGCTCACATCAACATCATCCCCCTAGGCGAGTGGAAAAGCCAAGCAAACGGCCGAAACAAAACAAAACAAAACTCATAGGCAAATCGTGCAATAAGAGTGTCACCGCCTATCGCCTCGAGGGTCGCGCGCGGCCGTGTCAAACCGTCATGAGAAAATGTCATAGGAATGCCATGACCGCCGCCGCCGACGACTGACTGACTGAGCACCTCGGTGCTTAGCAGCACGGCGGCCGCGGGGGCCGCGCGCCCCGCCCGCGGTCTCCTCGCCGGTCAACGCCACGGCCCGCCGGGGCGCGGCTGGTGCGGGCCGCTCGCGGGGCCAGAGGCAGGCCGACGCGGACCCCGCGGAGGCGGAGGCCGGCGGACGCCACCCAGCCCCATTAATCTGCCTTATCTAAATCTGGAGCTTCCGTATTCTTATCTCTTTGAATATAATGAAAACACGGGCTCGTTTCGGTGCCGGGTCGTCACCTGATAGGTCTGCTCCCGACGTTGCCTAGCCGGCCGGCCCGGTCGGTCGGGTCGGTGGTCTGGTCGGGGTCCCCGGGTATTTTGCCAATTTCGCACACACTGACGTCTCGCCGCCGGCATCGAATTCGAGAGTATCGGCCTGGTGCATCGCGCGATCGTATCGCTTGCTGGAGTAAACGCCGCCCCGGGTGCGTGGGTAGACAGACTGGTTCCGCGAAACAGGTCCATAACCTATCTCAAAAAGTTTTCCCCATCACGGCGCCACGCTACGCCACGCCCCGCCGCGGTCTCGCCCCCGGGGCGCGGCGAATACACTACGGCCCGTGGATTAGCTCCCTCCCGATCGTGCTGAGAAGGCACGTTTTCCCGGTAGCTTCGACGCTTATATCCAAATGAAGGCAAGCACTGATTTATTTTTTTCCCGGTGCCATCCTTATTAAGACACCGTCGTGCGCCGCTTGCCTTTTAGTGACGCCTCGGAGCTGCAGAGTTCGAACCTCTTGCACACACTGTCAAAAATATTGTACCAAAGTACAACAAATGGAATGGATAGTAGGTTTGTGGAGGTGAAGAACACGATCGCTGTACATTTTTGTTGTATAGTGCCCAAGACTCCATGTTAAAGGATGTTGTACTTTGTACCTCAAAATAATGTAACTTACTCAGTACAATTTGATCAGGGACTTGACCAGCGCGTGTTGGGTTTTTTTCTGACAGTGCAGTGTTATTATCTGTTTTTTTTGTTATTTTTCGCCATACAGCTTTGGAGCCCCAGTAAGTGTGTGCGTCTGAGTGACTTGCCCCGTCGTCGAGTCGCCGCCGTCATCGATGGCTTCTTTGAAAGTTTCCAGCAGTTTCGTCCGCCAATATTTGCTCGTTTGTCAGGAGGAGTGACGGGGAGGGGTGTGTTGGGGCGGCCGCGGGCCCTTGTCGCACCGGACCATGACCTTGGCCGCATTGGCTGCCAACTGTATTTGTGCTCCGCTCCGGGGAGCAATGAGCCACAGCCAGCAGAAACAACACGCATTAAGGTCATAGAATTTACTCTTGAAGAACTCGTCAAGCAAGCTTGATGAGTTCCTCAAGAGCAAATTCAACGACCGCGTGTTGTTTTTGCTGGCTAGAAGCTAGAAGATTTACAGAGACGGTATAGGAGTTTTACGGGGGAAATGGGCAAGGCGGGGAGGGGCTGAAGAGACGTTGACAACTGTGGTCCTTGTGGTTCGGCAGGTGTAATCGGCGTGATCCGTGGTTGGGTCCGTTACGGTCGATTACGGCGTTGAGTTTCTGGCGGTGTGCTTCAAACTGATAACAGAGCGGGTCGACTCGGTGGGCAGGCTGTGTGCTTCCGGGTGCAGGGCTGAGGTTCGCTGCGGCCGCGCCGCGCTTCTGGCCCGCTTACCCCCCCCCCCCCTCCTCTCTCTCCAGGTGTAGGTGCGGCGTGCAGCGTGTCTGGTACTTCCCCAATTCCTTTTGCCTCCGAAAAAACAGTGTGATTTGTGACTGATTGTTTGCAAATGTCGTGCAAGTCTGCCATTTCCAGGCTGCGACTTTGTCCAAACGTTTCTCGAACCAGCAAAACGAAAAAAAATAGAGAAAAAAAAACATGACAAGGCGCGACCTTGTGTGTGT